AGGCCTCCTGGGCGTATTCTGGGGGCCTCCGGGGGCTTCCTCGGGCCACCCTGCCTCCAACCGCGGTCTCCCTGAACGACCGGGTCACGATTCGGAATGCTTCGGAGGGTGTCTTTGGGCCATTTTGGGCCGCCATGGGGCTCTCTGAGGACCATCTTGGACCCGTGTTGTGCCGTTTAGGGGCTCTCTTGGACTGCCTGGAAGCCCTTTCGGATGGTTGTGGGGCGATTTTGGAGCCCCCCAGGCGGCTTCGAACGCCCAGAAGACCGCAGTCTTGGAGCGTCGGGAAGCCGAATAGAGGAGAACCGCAGACTTCCCCAAAAACCAATAGAAAATCAATGGTTCTTGCCACGGGGGGCCTTCTTGGGAGTGCTCCTGGAGGCCTCTTTGGGGCCGTCCTAGAGGCCTCTTGGGCCATCTTGAGGTCACGTCGGCCACTCTTGGCGCGCTCTTGTGCTGTCTTGGGGGTCTCTGGGACGTCTCCGATGACCCCCCTGATCGCCCTAGGTGTGCTGGGAAGGCTTGGCAAAACGCCCTGCGAGGCCCGGGGGCCGCTTCGAGGCCCGTCTGGAGGTTCCCAAAGCCCCAGATCCCAGGAGTCCGGTTTTTTTTTGGGGGGGTGACGGGTTTTCCCCCCGCCCGGGCTTGTAAAAATATAGGAAGAGGAATATGTATAACTGCGAAGACCACTACCGATACATAGAGGTACGCATACACATATATGTATACTTCTTCACATATATATATGTATAAATAAATAAATAAATGTATATATACACCTGTGCATATACATGAACATAAACATTTACACATACATATACGTGTACATGTACACGTACATGTACCTATACATACAGATGCAGAGATGTATACGCATGCACGCACATACAAACATCATGAACATAATCAAACCCATATACATTCAAATCGGCATTAGCAGACAGTCACCGATACGCGGTGGCATACACGCAATCATACACATAAAGGATACACATACACACGCATACCTCTACATATACATGTACACATGCGCAGACATACCCATGTTGTACATGCATATATGTATATGGATATATGCACGTGCATATACACATGCACAAATATAGTCATACAAACATACCTGTATAGAAACACGCAAATAGTCGATTCCAATAACCCTGGATCGAATCCAAAAACATTGACACCTCCCCGTCACTGCCGCCGCCTTTCCCTGACCTTCTGCCCGCTTCCGCTGGCGGACCCGTCGCCGCTCTACTTCCGCCGGCCTCCACCGACGGAGCGAGACGCGCCGAGAACGAGGCCCTCTCCAGCATATCCTGATCCACCGCCTCCATGGTGTTCTGGTACCGGTGGATGTATGAGAGGCCGCATGGATGGGGTCTGAGTAGATGGGGTCGGAGGATCGCGCCGCAGCGCCGATGCATCGGCGATGCATCGGCGATGCATCCGCGATGCACCGCCGACGTCGGCGATGCATCGGCGACGTCGGCGTGGAGAAACTCTGGCTCCGTATCGAGCCGCATCGCCGATGCATCGGCGATGCGGCGCGATCCTCCGACCCCCATCTGCTCCGACTCCATCCAGGAGGCCTAGCTTCTAATGGGCCTTCCCCCTCCCCCCTACCCCCCTACACCCCCCTCTGCGCGTCGCTGACGGTCCCCCTCGACGAATCTCCGCCGAGCATGCTGAACTGGCACGGTGGCAGGACTTGCCAGATGTGTGTGTGTGTGTGTGTCTGTGTGTGTGGTGTGTGTGTGTGTGGTGTGTGTGTGTGTGTGTGGTGTGTGTGTGTGTGTGTGTGTGTGTGTGTGTGTGTGTGTGTGTGTGTGTGTGTGTGTGTGTGTGTGTGTGTGTGTGTGTGTGTGTGTGTGTGTGTGTGTGTGTGTTGTGTGTGTGTGTGTGTGTGTGTGTGTGTGTGGTGTGTGTGTGTGTGTGTGTGTGTGTGTGTGTGTGTGTGTGTGTGTGTGTGTGTGTGTGTGTGTGTGTGTGTGTGTGTGTGTGTGTGTGTGTGTGTGTGTGTGTGTGTGTGTGTGTGTGTGTGTGTGTGTGTGTGTGTGTGTGTGTGTGTGTGTGTGTGTGTGTGTGTGTGTGTGTGTGGTGTGTGTGTGTGTGTGTGTGTGTGTGTGTGTGTGTGTGTGTGTGTGTGTGTGTGTGTGTGTGTGTGTGTGTGTGTGTGTGTGTGTGTGTGTGTGTGTGTGTGTGTGTGTGTGTGTGTGTGTGTGTGTGTGTGTGTGTGTGTGTGTGTGTGCGCGTGATGGGCCTGTCTTCCACCACCGCCACCACAAGCTGGAGGGGGATGAAGGTGGAGGACGAGGGGGAGGAGCACGAAGAGGAGGAGAAGGAGGAGCTGTTTTTCCCAACCCTCCTGCGTTGGGTTCTCGTTTTGAATAGAGCACTGCTCGCGCGAACCTTCCTTCCTTCCTTCCCGTCCCTCTCTTCCCCCCTGCCTTTGACCTCGCTCGTCGCCATCCCTGGGGGGCTGCGATATCTGAAACTGTCGCCATTTTCGAGGCCTGCTGGGGGGGCCAGCACAGTGGGTACTCACCGCAGATTCAAATGGGACCTCGCCATCCCTGGGGGGTTGCGTTCTGTGAAACTGTCGCCACTTTCGAAGCCTGTTGGGGGGCCCAGCACAGTGGGCACTCACCGCAGATTCAAATGGGACCTCGCCATCCGTGGGTGGCTGCGATCTGTGAAACTGTCGCCACTTTCGACGGCTGCTGGGGGGCCCAGCACAGTGGGTACCCACCGAAGATTCAAATGGGACCTCGCCATCCCTGGGGGGCTGCGATCTGTGAAACTGTCGCCACTTTCGAAGGCTGCTGGGGGGGGCCCAGCACAGTGGGTACCCACCGCAGATTCAAATGGGACCTCGCCATCCCTGGGGGGCTGCGATCTGTGAAACTGTCGCCAGATTCAAATGGGACCTCGCCATCCCTGGGGGGCTGCGATCTGTGAAACTGTCGCCACTTTCGAGGCCTGCTGGGGGGCCCAGCACAGTGGGTACTCACCGCAGATTCAAATGGGACCTTGCCATCCCTGGGGGGCTGCGATCTGTGAAACTGACGCCACTTTCGAGGGTTGCTGAGGGGCCCAGCACAGTGGGTACTCACCGCAGATTCAAATTAGACCTCGCCATCCCTGGGGGGCTGCGATCTGTGAAACTGTCGCCACTTTCGAGGCCTGCTGGGGGGCCCAGCACAGTGGGTACTCACCGCAGAGTCACATGGAGCTCGCCATCCCTGGGGGCTGCGATCTGTGAAACTGTCGCCACTTTCGATGCCTGCTGAGGGGGGCCCAGCACAGTGGGTGCTCACCGCAAGCTCAAACCGGACCTCGCCATCCCTGGGTGGCTGCGATCTGCGAAACTGTCGCCACTTTCGAGGCCTGCTGGGGGGCCCAGCGCAGTGGGTACCCACCGCAAATTCAAATGGGATCTCGCCATCCCTGGGGGGCTGCGATCTGTGAAACTGTCGCCACTTTCGAGGCCTGCTGGGGGGGCCAGCACAGTGGGTACTCACCGCAGAGTCACATGGACCTCGCCATCCCTGGGGGGCTGCGATCTGTGAAACTGTCGCCACTTCCGCGGCCTGCTGGGGGGCACAGCACAGTGGGTACTCACCGCAGACCCAAATTAGACCTCGCCATCCCTGGGGGGCTGCGATCTGTGAAATTGCCGCCACTTTCGAAGGCTGCTGGGGGGCCCAACACAGTGGGTACCCACCGCAGACTCAGATTAGACCTCGCCATCCCTGGGGGGCTGCGATCTGTGAAACTGTCGCCACTTTCGAGGCCTGCTGGGGGGGCCCAGCACAGTGGGTACCCACCGCAGATTCAAATGGGACCTCGCCATCCCTGGGGGGCTGCGATCTGTGAAAATGTCGCCACTTTCGAAGGCTGCTGGGGGGCCCAGCACAGTGGGTACCCACCGCTGACTCAAATGAGACCTCGCCATGTCTGGGGGGCTGCGATCTGTGAAACTGACGCCACTTTCGAGGGCTGCTGAGGGGCACAGCACAGCGGGTACTCACCGCAGACGCAGATTAGACCTTGCCATCCCTGGGGGGCTGCGATCTGTGAAACTGTCGCCACATTCGAGGGCTGCTGAGGGGCACAGTACAGTGGGTACTCACCGCAGACCCAAATTAGACCTCGCCATCCCTGGGGGGCTGCGATCTGTGAAATTGTCGCCACTTTCGAGGGCTGCTGAGGGGCACAGCACAGTGGGCTTCCCGCACGTCTTTCTCCTGCTCTTCGTTCCCGACTCCCCATATCCTCTTCGAGCCTGTAGTTGTCGCCCCTCGTTCTTGTATGGTTTTCCTGTGCATCATGCCATAGGCGCGTGTCCCAAGTAGCTTACATATCAAACAACGGATCCTGCAATTTGATTGTCCATGCAAGTTTCGGCCCACTCCTCGTTTCCCATGATACAAATGGGTTGGGTACGTCACAGGGTAATGTTCATCAGCGATGCTCTTGCCAACTCACGCCGACAGAGAAAAAGGCTCGACCTGGACCTGAGGAAATTCGGGGTGCCTTCCCTTGAGGAGGCCGGACCAGGTCGAGATCGCGAAATTGCTGGCAGGCCTGTCCAAACACTTCTTACGAAGGTTTCTGAACTGACCGCCAGTGGAATATGCCTTGCACTTCTCACAGGCATATAACAGAGTGCCGTCGCTGCAATCAAAAACTTTCAGTTGGTGCAGCATTCGCCCCCCCTCCCCCTCCAACTTATTTGGGCGCCCGAGTTATCCGGGGTAACTCGGGTCCGGGGTAACTCGGGTTTGGGTTCCCGGAAAACGAACCCGAGTTAGCCCTGACCCGAGTTACCCCTGATGATTCGGGGCTCTGGACGCCCGAGTTACCCCTGATGATTCGGGGCTCTGACTTATGGTGGTGGTGGTGGACCACAGGCCCATCAGTGTGCGCGTGTGTGCAACACCCCAACCTCCGACCCCTGGGCCTGCCAAGGGCAGCCCCTCGCGCGAGAGCCCGCCCGCCTGCGGGGGCGCAGCCCAGCGGGCCCGCGTACGCGAACAGCTCGTCCAGCAGCGGACCCAGCTGCACGCCGGTGCAGTCCAGGGCCTTGGGGGGGGAGGGAGGGGGCAGCAGGGCCGGGCACCTGAACGGCGTGTGGGCGGCTTCGCGGGCCGTTTCTCGTTCCGGTGTCGTTTTGCGGTGCGGGCGGAGCGGAAGCAAGCACGAAAGAACACACGAGGGCAGACTGGCTTCGCGGGCCATTGTCGTCTCGGGGTCGTTTTGCGGTGCGGGCGGAGCAGAACCAAAAACGAGGGGACGACGAGGGCAAAACGAGAGCGAAAGACGCCGTGGAGGTTCAGTCCCCGGGGGGGGGACGGTGGCGCACGGGCGTCCACACCTCCGGCGACGCCACACGGTCTCCACGCCGGGCGGTGTTCCCAGATGGCTTCCCGTGGGTGCCGCCCCCTCGGGGCCCCGCGCCGTCGGGAGTGGGCCCAGGGCGACAGGCCGGGGCGGGGCCGAAGCGCCTGGAAAGTCCGGGCTCATGCAGACAACCCTCCCCTTCCCTCCCTTCCCTCCCTCCCTCCCTCCCTCCCCCGTTTCCTCTTCCTCCTCCCTCCTCCTCCTCCTCCTCTTCCTCCTCCTCCTCCTCCTCCTCCTCCTCCTCCTCCTCCTCCTCCTCCTCCTCCTCCTCCTCCTCCTCCTCCTCCTCCTCCCCCTTTGCTTCCTCCTCCCCTTTTCTAACTGTGAAACGGTGCGCCCACCACTGGAAGAGAAGGAGGGACAATACAGTCGGACCTGGGCCAGAAGCGCACCCTTCAAGAGCATGAGACCCTCCCTCGGCCAAAGCAAACAGAACATCCAAGGTCAACCTCCCTAGGATGCACAAGAACATCCAACAAACGTGGCGAAAATATACTAGGGCACCCTTCCCGAACCGACCTCGATCTCATACCTCGGTCCGACTGTACTCGGGACGGGGGGCCAGCACTAGGAGGAGGGCTTGGAGTGATGGTTCTGGGGCACCTTCGGCCCGGCGCAGCGCGTGCAGATCATACGGATGCGCGGCGTGGGTGCACGGCCCTTATTAGAGGCCCATCGTAGCCACTTGCTGGGCCCGACTTGAACACTGCGGTCCGGAGCACCCGAAGAGAGGTCAGGGGATTCCTTCTGGAAACACGGGAGGAGTATCGAGATCGAGGTTCGAGGACCGAGGGCCGACACGCTTCTGAACCTGCTCTGCGCCCCTCCTGGACCCCCCGGAAAGCTCCTCATGTGGTCCGCCTTGGAATCCAGCACCCCAGGACGAGCCCCTCTTCTGGTTCTTGCGGGAGGACCCGAGCAGTGAAGGGGCGTCTGGTGACCAAACGCCTCTGAGCAAACGAAGCGGGAACTGCACAGCTGTGCGTGTGTGCGCGAATCGGGCAGCACGGCGCAGTTCCTGCACGCACGCCACGCACGCTAGAGCAGCAGCAAACGACAGACGGCACCTGGGAAAGCTGTGCGGCGTGCGACCAGCGAGGCTCCCTGAGTCGGCCAGTCCATGGGTGCTGCGCGCGCATCGTGCGGGAAAACTGAGCTTCCACACGTGACGGCTTCAAGACAAGCGCAGTCTGGGACGGAAGGACTCACCAGGACCGACCTGCTGCGTACAGCCCCCGCAATGCCGTCGGGTCTGCCTAGGCCGCGGGCGGCAGGGGCTGGGGCTGCTGCTGGAGGAGCAGGGGGAGCACGCATCCTTCGAGCCCTAGCGGGCTACCATGCGTTCCACAGTCTCGTTGCCGAGCTTCTCGACGCGCAGTTTGAAATACTTGCGTTGGCTAATTGGCCGAAGTCGGACCCATATTCTTCTTCTTGTTCTTCTGCTTGTTCTTAGTATTATTATTATTATTAGTATTATTCGTATTATTCGAATTATTATGAATATTCTTCTTCTTCCTCCTCTTCTTCCCCAACGACTGCTTGCACCCAGGGGGGTCTGACTTCTCTTCGGAGGGTGGGCTGGTGCGGCGGCCTCAGGCGGCTATGTTGTCGCCGCCGCGGCCCCGTCGCCGCCTCGTCGCCGCTCGTCGCCCCGGCCAGTGCGGCGGCACGGCGGCCATGTTGCCGCCGTGCCGCCGCTCCGCCTGCGCCGCGTCGCCGCCCGTGGCCGCAGTTGGATTATACCCCATCGATTGCCGCACCTCTCTTCCGCCGCGACCTCGCCGCCGCCACGGGAAATGTCCCACAGGGATCGCACAACCAGATTTCACCACATGACTTGCACCATATATATATATATATATATATTGCACTTCATAGATTACAATTCTTAGATTGCACTTCATAGATTGCACTCCATAGATTGCACTTCATAGATTGCTGAACCTCTTTTCCGTCGCGACCTCGCCGCCGCCACAAAAGTTGTTCCACATAGATTGCACAACAAAATCCGCGGGCCCCCCTGTGGGGCCACCAGGCTGGAGGGCTAAGGTTCGCAGTTCCCTGTGCCAGTTGCAGCTTCCAGGTTCTACTGTTACAGTTCTGCTTCTTGCTGCATACTGTTCCTTGTTGACTTCTTGCTGGGAGGGTTCTCAAAATTTCTGGGAGGGTAAAAATTTACACCCCTCACGCAGATCGGCGGGGTCAGGGTCCAAAAACATAAAGAATTTGCCACATTCCTGACATTCGGTGGCACTCCTCACGCAGATCGGTGGGGTCAGGGTCCAAAAACACAAGGGATTTGCCACATCTCTGAAATTCGGTAGCACCCCTCACGCAGATCGGCGAGATCAGGGTCCAAAAACCCAAGGGATTTGCCACATTTCTGAAACTCGGCGGCACCCCTCACGCAGATCGGCGGGGTCAGGGTCCAAAAACATAAAGAATTTGCCACATTAAATTCGGCACGCAGATCGGCGGGGTCAGGGTGCAAAAAAAGCAAAAATGATGTGCTACATCTCTGAAATTCGTTCGCACCCCTCACGCAGGTCAGCGGGGTCAGGGTCCAAAAACACGAAGGATTTGCCACATGTCTGAAATTCGCTCGCACCCCTCACGCAGATCGGCGAGGTCAGGGTCCAAGAACACAGCGGATTTGCTACATTTCTGAAATTCGGCGGCACCCCTCACGCAGATCGGCAGGGTCACGACGTCGTACCAATCGGCAGGTCGAGTCGGCCTCGCATGAAGTTCCGATACTGCTTCACGACAGCGCCCAGGCCTCATGACATAGCTCTTGCATAGTGCATTCTCCGAGAAAGGGGGCCCGCGGCAGGGGGCGAAGCCCTTACGGATTTCACCACATAACTTGCACCGCATCATTGCACTTCATAGATTGCACAACATGCGCCACCGTGCCCCCTGGCAGGTTGAAGCGTGCTAAAATGCCAAGAATCTCTGTCTGGCAGGGTGTTTGAAATCTTCTCGGACACCCCCCTTCGGGGTCGCACCTCGTCGCGCGCACCGGCCATACTCCCGGGGGGTCCTTTGGCGGCCATGGCGCCTCCCTGGGGCTCTCCCAGGCTTCCATGACGGCCCAGGAGGCCCCAAAGACAGTCAAAGAGGACCCCGAGTCGCCGAACGATCACTCGAAGACGCCCAAGATGGCCTCAAGATGGCGCAAAAGGCTTGCAGGGCGCCCCAAGAGGCCTCCAAGAGGCCCCCCCGGAGGCAAGAGTCATTGATTTCCCTCGCGTTTTTGAAGGATTCCGGCGTTCTCACCTTTCCGGCACTCCAACGCTCCAAGATGGCCCAAGAGGCCCCCAAGACCTCCCCAAGACGGCCCAAGAGGCCTCCAAGAGGGCCCCAAGACGGCCCAAGGGCGGCCCAAGACGGCCCAAGAGGCGCCCAAGACGGCCCAAGAGGGCCCCAAGACGGCCCCCAAATGGGCCCCGGCCTTCCTTGCAATTTATGCAAGCGCCTCGCCCTCGATACTCAGGAATCCCGTTCTCGCTTAGACCTCCCGTGCAATTGACCTGGGAACCGCGCCCCGACCCGCCTGTCAAGGTCCGTCCCGCCGACCCGCCTGCTGCCCCGCGCGCCCAGGAGGCGCGCTCTCGCACGAGGCTTCCTCGCAGCTTGCTCGGGACTCGTGCTCTCGCCTGCGGCTTCTGACAATGTGCGAAACTCGCTTCAATGCCCAGGCCGCCCGACCCGCCAGTCAGGGCCCGCCCGCTTCGCGTGCGAATTGTCTCTGCCCGTTCACATGCTTGGAAGCCCGACCGCCCGCGTCATTGCCCCGCCCGCCCTGCCCGCTCGTTGGGGTCCGCCCGCCCGACCCGCCCGTTACGCCGGGCAGTCCGAAGCGCCTGTCGGGGTGCGCTCGCCAGAATGATTGCTCCTCCCTCCTCCCGCTCCTGCTGACCCTTCTTTGCCCTTACGTCATGGTCCCTTCCCCTTGCTCCCCCCCCTCCTCTTCCTCCTCCTCCTCCTCCTCCTCCTCCTCCTCCTCCTCCTCCTCCTCCTCCTCCTCCTCCCCCTCGTCCTCCTCCTCCTCCTCCTCCTCCTCCTCCTCCCCCTCCCGTGTCCTTCTCCTTTCCTCGCTCTCACCCTTATTCCTTTTCCATCATCCTCCCAGTGCACGGGCCGCGCCAACCACACGTGGCAGAAGGGAAGAACAAGAAAGCCAAGACACGCGATCAAAGAGGAAGAGGGCAAATATGTTCTGGGTACACATACGTGTTGAATGGCACGCGGGCAACGAAGAGCGAACAGGCTCAAATGATAGTTGTGGATGTCATCGTCGTCCACCCCGCGACCCGCCCCGCGACACGCCCCGCGACCCGCCCCGCGACCCACCCCGCGCCCGCCCTCCAAGACTTATCCGCAAGAGGAGGCGGAGGAGGGGGAGGAGGAGGAGGAAAAGGAGGAGGAGGAGGAGGAGAAGGAGGAGGAGGAGGACGAGGAGGAGGAGGAGGAGGAGAGGAGGAGGAGGAGGAGGAGAAAGAAGGAGGAGGAGAGAGGAGGGAGGAGGGAGGAGGAGGAGGAGGAGGGAGGAGGAGAGGAGGAGGAGGAGGAGGGGAGGAGGAGGAGGGAGGAGGGAGGAGGGAGAGGAAAAGGGAGGAGGGAGGAGGAGGGAGGAGGGAGGAGGAGGAGGGAGGAGGAGGGAGGAAGGAGTATGAGTA